GGGCGCAGCCTCCGGCCGGGACCACCTCGCAGCGCGGCTCTGGGGGCCGAGCGCCGCCGGAGGCGCGTCTTATTGGCTGAGGGGGGAGGGGTGGAGTCCAGACGTTCCGGCCGGGACGACGCGGTGGGCGGAGCGCGGGGGTGTGCGAGGACTCCCGGCTGGCGGGAGTTCCAGACACCAGAGCGGCGCCGGCGCCCGGCACGCTCACCCGTCACCAATCCCGCGCGCTCAGCCCGCTTGTTCCTCCAATCCTGCGCCTCCCGCCAAGCAGCGAGCTGTCAACGCGCCCATTTCTCTGAGCAGGAGACTGAGGTCAGAGGGATCATCTCATTCTTCCGAGATCTAACAGGGAAGGGCAGGTGGGAGCTAGGACTTGGCAGGGCTGTCCCCAAAGCGCGCTTGAGGTGTGAGTCTAGCTATACTGAATATGTGCCTCTGTGGGTCGTCCTTGCATATGGGTCCCCAGAGCCCATGTGACAGTGTGAGGCTTGGTCATCGTGGCACTGGGGAGCCACAGCAGGCTTCAGAGGAGGAGAGAGAAAGAAGCCCGATATCTCTGGTGCTGGGGCTGGTGGGGAGGGGGCCCTGAACCCAGAGGGGCACTGCTGGAAGTTGGGGGCTGGCATATATGGAAAACAGTCAGCAGTGAGAACGGACAGGATTTGGGGGCTGATGGGCAGACTGGGAGTTGTGACTCTTGGCGGGAGCAGCCAAGGAGAAGTAGTTGGATGGATGACACTGGGCAGGCCCTGAGAACTGTGGGGGCATCTCTGAGCTGTGCCCCAGACTCAGTGCCCAGCCCTCTCCTTGCCTTGTTTCACATCATCCTTCCACACAGATGTGGGGGAACTGGCCTTGTCCCCATTTTACAGATGCAAACACTGAGGCCCAGGGAGATTAGGTCGCTTACCCAGCCAGGAAGGGATAGTGCCGTGTGTGAATCCAGGCAGCTGCCTCTGGACGCCTCAGTATTAATCCCCAAATGTTACATAACACAGTGAATGGGGAGGGGTTAGCAGGGCTCCGTGTGGCTGGAATCAGGCCTCGGAATTTTCCAGAGATCAGATTTCGGAATCTGGCCCAGCTAAGCCACCAGGGTTAGGAAACACCATCTGAGTTGTCACATGTCAACCTGGCACATCAAATGAGGGACTTTGAGAGGGCCCCAGTGCATCTGATGGAGCAAGATTCTGGCACCTTTGCAAGGATTCTGGGCCAGTGCAGGGGGCCGGCTGGCTCTGGCCAGGGAGCCCGAGTTCTCTGCTAAGGAGAACCAGGTATGGTGTGGCAGAGGGAAGGCAGCTGGGGGGCTGGTGGGTCTGAGCCATCACGTCACTGTGGCCCTGGAATCCACGGGGGCAGGAAGCCAGCTCCTTCTCAGCAGCACACCTGCACCGCCCGCTCATCCAGGTATCTGCTCAGTGCTTCTGTGGGTGCAGAGCCTGTGCCCAAGACAGGTCCATCCGGCTTTCCAACAGGAGGTCAGCCAGACAGAACCAAGGCCCGGGATCGGGGCAGGTTCTGGGTGCCAGTGTGAGAAAGGCAGGCCCCTGCCAGGCAGTGGCTTGTCCGGGAAGTAGGCGCTGTTCTAAGCCCCGTCATACAGATGAGGAAGTGGAGGATCAGGAAGGCACAGGCAAGCCAGGGTCTCCGGATGGTGGTCAAACCCCGACAGGAGTGCAGGTTGTTGGGTCTGGAGCCCCTGCCCCCCAATACTGCCCCACAGGCTCCAGGATCACAGGAGAAGCCCTCCCACTGGGGCAGGTGGCGGAGTCTGTGGGACCCCCAGAACCCTCCTGGGGGAATGAAATCCTAAATTCCCAGCCCAGAGCCTCACAGCAGGCCTGTCAGCTGACATCCTCTGCCCCTCCTCTCCCGGCCACCTGCTCTTTTCCTGGCTAAACCTCCACCTCGGGGCTGGGGAGACCTCCCGTGCCCCGCCTGACCACCCCCGGCCCCACACCGAGCAGGGACACCCTCCCCCCAGCACTTTAGAATGAAACAAGCTTTGTAATAAAGTGAGAAACGTAGCAGCACGATTCGCAACAGCCAAAAGGAAGAAACTCTCCCCGGTGTCCTTTGCTGACGAAGACAGATGAACAGACGTGGCCCATCCACACCCTGGGCCATTACCCAACCTTAAAAGGGATGGAGATTCTGACACTACAGTGCGGATGGACCTCGGGAACATGATGCTCGGTGAAATAAGACAGACACAGAAGAACAGGTACCATCTGATTCCACTCACAAGAGGACCTGGAGGAGTCACATCCATAGAGAGAGAAAGTAGACTGTGGGGCCACAGGCTGGAGGAGGGTGGGGAGTCGGTGATTAATAGGGACAGAGTTTCAGTTTAGGGAATTGGAAAGTTCTGGACAAGATGGTGGGGATGGCTGTACAATAATGTGAACCTGTTTAGGACCACTGAGCTGTGTGCTTAACAATGATTAAGATGGTGCATTTGGTGTTACTGTGTATTTTGCCACAGTGAAAAAAAAAGTGGAAACTATGTTAGATTCCCCACCCCTCAAAAAACCACAGCCTTAGGGAGCTGAAGAATACCGCCATTTTGCAGATGAGAAGACTGAGGCTCAGTGCATGAGGCAAGCACAGGAGCGGTTTTGCAAAGGGGCAGGAGTTGGGAGTTGGGGTACTCAGTGGAGCTGCCTGACCCTTGCATGCTGACCCCTGCCCAGGGCTCTGGAGCCTGGGGTGGGCATGGGCTGGAGCCCTGGCCTGGCCACCCAGCCCCCTGAGCCCACACCCTCGAGGCCATGCACTTGATTTCCCTACAGTCTGTTCTTTCCCTGACCTGAGATAACTCTCCAGACTCAGCAGATTTCCTGGGAGAAGCCGGCAATCTTTGCTCAAAATACCTGCGGCAGGTGGAGGGGGTGGCTGCTGAGACAGCGCGGGGCACTGGACTCCCGAGGGAGGCTGGCGGGCCTGGGTGCGGGGTCAGCAGTGGCGTGGCCCCCCTAATTCCAGAAGTTTCCCTAGCTGGGGTAGGCAGACGAGACTCAGCCCGGCTCCCAGGTCCCTCTCTAGCCTCCTGCCTCCTGGACTTTGAAACGCAGTGCTTGCCCTCCTGCCTGACTTGGCCAGAACTGGCAGGTCCCTGGGGACGGCCAGTGAGCAGAGCTGGTGGGAGGGACCCACCCCAGTGCTCCAGACACCCCGTGACTGCAGCTTCCTCTCAGACTGCCCTCAAGACTGGCCCATCTCTGGGGAAGGGGTGGGGTTGCCTGGACCTGGGTGCCACGTCCTCGGAGCCTCCCCCAGGAACAAACCTTGTCCTGGCCTCTCCCAGCACCCACTGTCTTTGGCTCCTTCTAGAAGCAGGGTCCTCCATTGTCCTCCGGGACACCTCTCTGTGGACTTGTCCCCCACCTTTCTTGCTAAATCTTCTGAGTTCTCGTCTGAGGCTCCTCTCCCTCTCCTGGTGCCCAGGGCTCAGTGTGGAAGCCCCCCACCCCCTTTCTTCACTCTCTTCCGCCGCCGATGTGGTTCAGGCCAGTGGGAGACAGTCAGGGCCCTGTCTCAGTCTGGCCTTTGCCAAATGCAGAGCCTGAGGCAAGGGTTGAGTGCAGTGAGTGATCTGGGAAGCACACTGTCCTGTTACTTAGCTTGGGACACTCCTACACATGCTCCACACTGTAGCTCAGAGAGTGATGGAGTGACAGATGGGACAGGGAGGTGTGTGTGGTGGGGGCCACTGTGGGGCTCGATGACCCCCCAATCCGGGAACAGAGCCTCACCTGTGATCAGCCACTCCACCTCTCCCCTTTGACCCGTGACACTAGGACCCGTCTACAGGCAGGGTGGTGGGTAGACAGGGTCAGGGAGGGAGTATCCAGAGTACAGTTTGGGGGATATTGATGCCTATCTGGGGAGCCCAGGGGTGATCCAGAGGAAGAGATGAAACTGAAGACACCACTGGGGGCCTCCCTGGCAGGACCAAACAGGGCCCAGGGTCAGGATCATCCAGGACAGCTGTGGCCAGGTCTGGGAACACAATGTGTGTGGACTCTCGGAGGGTGGCTGAGAGCTGGACTCAGGGATGCTCTGGGGCCCAGGGCCAGAAAGCCCACCCTCTTCCTGACAGCAGGAAGCTTTCCAGAACCAAATCAGATCATATACAAAAGCCTGCGAGTGTGCCCCCGTGGCCCTTCCACACACCCACTCCCTCATCCTGGTCCGGCCCCCCTGGCCTCTGTCAGTCTGAGATCCCATACCAAGCTCATCCTAACCTCAGGGTCTTTGCACATGTCATTCCCGCTGCCCAAAGTGCTCTCCACCCCCTAGTCTTCACCCAGAAGCTCCTTCTTATCTTCCAGGACCCAGGTAGGGGCCACCCAC